GAATTAGAAGTTATTGTTTGACGGGTATAGAGTTTCAGTTTTGCAGGATAAAAGAATTCTGGAGATGGATGGTGGTGATGATTTCACAACAATATACATGTATTTAATACCACCGAGCTATATGCTTAAAAATGGCTAAGATAGTAAATTTTATGTTGTGTATTTTATCACAATTAAAAAAGAAAATCAGTGTAGATATCTTCTTTTAGCATAGATGGAGGGGTGTGTGTGTGTGTGTGTGTGTGTGTGATGCAGGGTCCAAATATCTCAAACTGAGAAGACAAACTTTTTCTTATTTACACACTTAAAAATTGGAATGGGTTTTCTCCTCTTCCTCTCATATTGCTTTATCTTTTTNGATTCTTTGTTTTGTTTGCAATAGTCAGCTTTATAAGGTTTGAACAAATTTAAATAAACCAGGAACAGAGATACATCACTTGGTGTTTCAGGAAATAGTTAGAAAGCATGGATGCACGTATGTTGTCTTTTATAACACATACAAAGCCACTTGCTTCTAGGATACCATGCATTTAACATTTTGGGGTGTAGTATTTAGTTTGCTTGACCCTCATATTCTGCAAAAGTCACAACATGAGCAAAAAGTCTATAAGGAAATGAACTTCAGAAAATTATGATCTGTTTTTAAAAGATCTAGCAACATAGTATTCAAAATTGGAATTTTGTGATTCACAGTAGCGGTAGGGAAGATTGTCTATTGTGGGCCATGCTCATGGACTGAAAACTAGATGTGGGCTAATCAAAAGCAACTAACAACTAATATTCAGATGTTGTCTGATGTTTCGAAAAAGTGGAAGGAAGAGAATATATTAAGAACATATCAGGTAATTCAGCAAATTCAAATGAATATATGGATGTGCATTCTATATTGCGGTCCATTTAAAAGAGAAAGAAAAAGGAAAAGGCTGATCACAAAGAATAAAAAACCATTGGGTAGAAAGGAATGAAGCATCAAAATGTTTACAGTTTCAGAGAGGGGCGCACATGGCTTAGTTCAGTCTCCTCACACTGCTCCAGCTCCACCCCAGTGTTTGCAACTGCGGTCATCCTCCTCTCTTCCCTTCATCAACACTGGCTGCCATTTTGTCTCCTCCAGTCCTACTTCTTCACCAGTTGATCCTGCTCTCTGGTGTCCTTCTTTTGCTCCTATTTTAGCTTCTGGCCTGTGGAGATCCCCCACTAAGTGACTCTAAACCCAAAACAGATCCAGTATCCATTTTCCGTGAATCTCACCCTTCACCCAAATGGCTCTATCACCTTTTAGGGAAATAAACACTTCTTTGGAACACTGGCCTAGTACTTTACAATTCTTTCAGTCTTCAGGAGGGGATTTTTTCATTGCTTTTACGGGAAATCAGCTGGATGTGAAAAGGGGGGAAATGCACTAATTGATTCTACAAGTAGCCCTCGATTCTGCCTGGTTCATACAGTAAAACAAGAACGTTCAGCGTGTGGCTGCCTAAAACTAGGAGTACAAATCAAAGCCTAGGTTTCCTTTTTCTCTTTAGTCCGTTTCAAATGTGGTTTTCTCTCCTGCATTTCTAGACCCCTGCTCCATCCTTCTTCTTTCCCCATCTCAAATTCCCACCTCCCTACTTCCCTTCCTTGCATATACAGAGTCCTTCTTCCATGATAGGCAGAATAACAATCCCCCAAAGATGTTCATGTCCCAATCCCCAGAACCTAGAAATATATTACATTACATTACATTTACATTACATTATATTACGTTACATAGCAAAGAAGAATTAAAGTTGCAGATGGAATTAAGGTGGTTAATCAGCTGACCTAAAAACAGGGAGATTATCCTAGATTATCTGGGTAGGCACAGTGTAGTTATAACGGTCCTTAAAAGTGGAAGAGGTGGGCAGAAGAGAAGTCAGAGTCAGAGAGAGATGTGACTTCGGAGGAGATCAGAGTGATGTGATATGAGGAGAACTCCTTTGCCAGCTTTAATGACGGAGGAAAGAGCCAAGAGCCAAGAAATGCCGACAGCCTCCAGAAGCTAGAAAATAAAAGCAAGTGGACTCTCAGAGCCTCAAAAAGGAACACAGCCCTGATTATACCTTGATTTTAGCCCAGTGAGACCCATTTCAGACTAATGCTCTCCAGAAATATAAGATAATACATTTCTATTGTTTAAGCCTCTAAACTTGTAGTAATATGTTACAGTAGCAATGGAACCAATATATTCTCTATCTCAGTCTCCTCAGGCCACGCACAGCTTTTCCCAGGGAGCATGAAAAGGCCTTGAGGGACAGACTTTCCTTGATGCTTGATTGACAATAATGAGTCATTTATGCTCAGTTAGTACCAGGCCTGTTGGCTAATGACAGAGAATCCCTTAATAATGGTGGTATCAATAAGATACCACTTATTTCTCTTTCATATCAAAGGTAGCCATCTCACAGTTGGCATGGTGGGGCCACAAAGTCAGTAAGGACCCAGATCCTTCCTATTCACCCTAGTGTAGCAGTCATTCTAGAGGTTCAAGGTGGACTTCTGTGATCAATGCAGATGCCTCCCAGGCCAGTAGCAGAAGGAAGGAGAGACAAGGCATATACCTCCTCCCTTCAAGAATATTTCTGCTTAAATCTCATTGGCCAAAACTTAGTCATGTAACTATACCTAGCTGCAAGGGAGGCTTGGAGAGTATCTTTTAGCAAAAAATACCTAGCTAAAATTCAGGGTTCTTGTGGTCTCCACTAAGAAGAAAAAACGTATTGTTACTAATGAAGAAAAAAAGAGGTATTAGAAGGCAAGTTGTGATCTCTGCCACAGGTGACCCTGTACTCTGGCGTAGATTCAGGGCAGAAGAGTAACTGGCCAGAATCTTAAATCTCCCAATAAGAATTTGGTAATTCTGTGATAGTCTGCATTCTAATGATGAATGAATTCCAGTTTGGCAGAAACGTTAGCTTCACTCAACAGCATCCAGGGGCTTGTAGATTGTGGCTACTTCCAACATTGGATGAATGGAAGAGTTAGGCCACTCTACTGAATAAGTCAATACTCTTGGCCCTGTAAAGTCTTCCTAGGCTGTTAGATGTTTGTTTAATTGTGGGGCATATAATTTCCCTGGGAGGCTATGGTGATTAGATCCTAACCGTGCCTATGAAATAATAGTTGTTAAAGTCTCCTTTTATTCTTTTGTTTATTCTTCCTCCTTTGATCTCCAAATGTATAAAAAGTGTTCAGAGATCTCTGTGACTTCAGAAATTCCTTCAATCTTCCCTCCCATTTTATTGTCTCCAAACTCTTTGAAAATAAATTGAGGGAACAATTAATTATCTTCCAATTTATTTTGTAAATGCTGTTGGGTGGCTTATTTTGCAGTATTCTTTATAAAGTAACATTCTCTGTGATGGGACTTGTATGTTTACAGAGAGTTATACGTAATTTCTTCTTTTGTCTTAAAGAACTAGATATCAAGAAATAAGTACCAAAAGAGATCATGTATAGACTTTTGCTTTTTGGTCATTAAGACAAGAATTATCTGTTGATTTCAGTTGGTAGATGAAAAAAAAATCTATGTACAGAATTTGTTATGGGTTATTCTTTATTTTCCAGATTTTCTGTGTGTTCTCTATTTTTTTTTTTTTTAAGATCTGATCTTACTTCATTCTTTGGTAAAAAGATTGCCCAAAGCTAGCAGAGGTCATTATTTTTTATATAATATCTTCGGAACGAGATTCCATTAGTATTGACTGAGGCAGTGTTTAATGTTTCTGTTTCTTGGGTCATGTACTCTAGTCAAATCAAAGCGCTTAGGTATTGCTTTACTATTGAATATCAGTGATCTCAAGGAGGATGTTTACACAGATGGTCCTAAAATTGCATATGACGCCTTGACATGAATTAAGACTTGTTCAGTATATTGAGGAAATGGGCATTGAGAATAAGATATTTTCCAAGATGAACAACAATTATGAAGTGAAATGTTGTGTCAAGAAAGGATTAGAAGAGAAATGAACATGGGATACGATTTGAAGAGGGTGGGAAGCCACACAGAGAAAGAGGTATGGCAGAGTCAAAGAAACCATCTCACAATCTGCCTAGAAACAGAACTCTACTCTCAAACTCCTGGCCTCAAGGGATCCTCCCACCTTGACCTTTCAGAGTGCTAGGATTACAGGCATGGGCCACCATGCCCAGCCAGGAACTCTACTCTCAAAATGTTTATGTTCCAGTTTTATAAAAGAAATAAGTTAATAAGTTTGTTATACTTTAACACTGGTGAACTCATTGACATATTTAACAATTTAGGCATGGCAATCCTTCCCACTTGGCATGAAGATGTGTCCCTGAGGAATTATGAGTAAAGTAGACAGTTCTGACTCAAACCTTAACTTCAAATAGAATGGGGAGGAATGGCTATTTACAATACTGGATTAAGTGACACTGAAAAACCAAGCCTCCCACTATAGTGTCTCTGTAGTCTAATACACTGAGGTGGTTATAGTTGACCAGAAGGATGGGGTTTGAGCCCATTGGGAGAACATTTAAAGCAGTGACATTAGTGCTGAAGGAGCTTATAATTTACCATCGTCCCCTCTGCCAACCTTTCATTCCTCCTCTGAGGGCACTTACCATAGTTTCTGACAATAGTAACACCCAGCAAGCGGCAGCAATGATAATGCACACTGTCACCCTTACCATTTTGAACTTATGAATTAAAATAACTTGAATATCTTGCTTTCTTAATGTGGCAATATGTCTTATTCTACATAACTTGGTAAAATTCTTTGTTGTTGCTTTTTTTTTCTTTGAAGAAGGGATGGGGAAGTAGGAAGAACTGGAAAATCAAACCTCATCCTCTGGTCTGCCTACCAATCAGATGTAAAACCAACTGAGGGTGGAGAGGGCTAGAGAAGCCGGGCCTGCCTACGTCCACTGCTTTGAGATCCTCTAGTTGCGATGAACTTGCACATTTGCTGGCTTGTGAATTCTCTGATACAATCATCTTTTTTCTTTTTTTCTAGTGTTTCTGAAAGACCTGTCAAACACTCCGATGGCCAGCAACAACACCGCCAGCATAGCACAGGCCAGGAAGCTGGTAGAGCAGCTTAAGATGGAAGCCAACATCGACAGGATAAAGGTGAGCACAACCTAACCCCACACTTCATCTAGCCTGAATCTAAGGAGTGTGACTTTCAGTCATCTGTCATGTGACTGCTCTTTCCTAGAGAGGGATAAAACCAGTAATGACAGGAAAGCATCTTAAAGATTAGGCAGAAGTTCATTTCTAATGTGTCTTTGTCTTCTCCGGCATAAAATAATAGAATAAATTACAACCTCTTTCCCATGTAGAATTAAAAATGAACAACGCAACACAACAAAAAAGCAAAACAGGCTCATGGTTAAATTCTACTGAGAGAAATTAGAGAATGCATAAAATGTATCAGTGCACCCGTTTACCTCCCTGTCCTGATGTAAAACCTTTTCTCATTTGGTTTTTAATTGTTTCTGTCCTGGTTCAGGTTCTAAGGCTAAATGTCTATCCTTTGTGTCTAACCCTTCTAGTTATCCTTGCACGTTACAAGTTTTTTCTTCTTTATTAAAATTTTTTTCTGCAAAACATGAAAGTCACACCTAGTCTTCCTAAGAAGTCAGACAACAAAGAGGCTTAATGAACGTTCATAGTCTACATGTTTCTTTTTTTCCTCTCCCTTCCCAGACCTAACCTGACAGATTTGCCTTAAGTTAGGACTAAATTCGTCTTGAACCAAGACTTTAAATTCAGACACTTTGTTCGTAGATTTCAGATGAAAAGTTGCCTAGTATGTTGTCATTATTAATAGATAGCAATGGCAGGGTGGCAGAGTGAATTTTTGTTAACCACCAAAACTTTATTGCCCCAGAAATAAAATGCCTTACCCAAGAATTCTATGAAATGCAACTCAGAAATACATCTCATTGTACTAAAGTTAAATTACAACATTCTTCCAAATGCCTTTTAAAAACTAGAATATTTTTCCTATTTTCTCCCTACCTAATTCAATACCTGGGCAATCCAGCTGTGCTTTGGAGTGTGACAGGGTTAATAAACTATAGTTCATGGGCCAAATCCAGCCCACTGCCTATGTTTATAAATAAAGTTTTATTGGAACAAACTCATTTACATATTGTCTGTGACTGCTTTCACTGTAAAACAGCAGAGTAGAGTGGTTGTAGTAGAGAACATACAGCCCACAAAGATAAAATATTTACTCTCTGGTGCTTTACTGAACGTTTGCTGACCCCTGCTCTACAGCAGTGGTTCTCAGCTCATCTGTGTGTTCCCAACACCCAGAGAGCTCTATAAAAGGACCAATTACCGAACCACACCCAAACCAATTAAATTAGAATCTCTTGGGGTATGATTCAGGCATCAGTATTTTTTTAAAGGATTTTTCAGTTAATTTCGATGTATAGCCAAGGTTGAGAACCACTGTCCTGTGGGAAGGAGTTTGCTTGTGCTAAGTCACATCAGGTATGTGCTAGAGCATAGAGAGAGAGCTCTTCTTCCTCCACAAATAAGACGAGCAAATACCCATGGACATTTTTCCATTTATCCTAAATCTCCTTAGTAAAATTTGATACCTAGTAACGGACCACAGGATTTAGTCAGGTCCTGCTCTTCTCTCAGCAGCCTTAATTATTCTTCTTTATTCATGACTGAGATCAAGAAAGGGGCCTTACCTTGCTCCTTTGCCACCTTCCTCTTCTCCACTTTTCTTGCTGCTTCTTTTTTTACTCTATTGCTGAAAAAGCACAAAGTGACAGATAGGCACAATACCTGCTGAGAGAAGTGAGGTGGCCCATGGATTATCAAATCAGAAAAGGTCATTCCGTTCTGTTTGAGGGAGAAGAGGTTCTGCCCATGGGCCTTCTGGAAAATACCACTTTGACTTTCGAAGTGGTCTAACTATGATAAAAGTTTGTGAAGCTCTACTGTGGTTGATGTTTTCTGTTACTACTCAGCATCCCCAGTTATTCTTCCTGAAGGAGGATGTGACGTTATAATGGGTGATGAAAACTGACAGCAGAAGAAAGAGAATAGAAATAGAGCTTTTCGGAAATAGGTTAGACCATATCATCCCTCACCTGAATTAATGACTGCAAGGGGCTCCGTAATTCCATCTCAACACATCTCCATCCCCTGCCATCAATTACCTTCCATACTGCTGCCAAATATAATGTTCTAAAAGAAAATCTAATTACATCTTTCTTCACTGAAAATCAGCTCATGATTCCCCATCACCAGTAAAATAAAATGCAGACTCTTTAGCAGTGTGTACAGAGTTCCTCTGGCCCTGTCATCTCTTCAGCTTCATTCCTGCTCTCTTTTCTGCATGTTGTATAGAACCACTTTTAATTCTTTTGATGGGAATCTTAAATGTCTAGAACATCCAATCTCCTTTGCCCCCTCCCTTACTGCTTTACTTATCTTACTTTACTTAGCACTTAAGTAACATGTAAATAGTACTTAACACTTAACTGCATTGACTCATCGAAGATTCAGATCAAATTATTAGGTCCTTGAAAAAGTTTTCGTAGACACTGATCCTAAGGTTGGATTTTTGCTGTTTGTTCAGTTGTTGTTCATTTATTTATTTATATATATAATAAAGTATATAAATAATAATAATATAATATATTATTAATATATATAATAATTTAATACTTAGAGTTTTCTAAATTTCCAGGGCTTGTTAGGTTCTAAAGAAATGGAGATAGCCAAAACATGATTCTTGCTTGCAACGATCCCAACCTAGTTGGGGGCTACAAAAAATTTGAACAAGACCTATTATTGAGGCAAACAAGATGTCTAAGAAGCAGTTACCAAATGTCGTCAGAAAAAAGCCAACACCACATTCCGATTGCCCTTTGAAGAGACACAAATAAATCACTACTAAAAAAGAAACAAAGCATGAACCTGATAAACCGAGTGCAAGTAATCGCCTTCCTGGGTGATCTTCACATTCAAATCTCTGAATCCCACTTGACGTCATTGGACCTTACATTGTTAGAAATACAGCATCATTCTGTATTTCAGCATTTGTTCTGCTCCTCAGAGCCAGGCAGCCTTGCTGTGGTGAAGTGACAGATTATTTTTAGTTTAAGGTTGGATAAAACGTCGACTGTGTTGACATGGTTGTCAGCTAGCTGGTTTAGGGCTTGGTTATCTGTCTTTAGAAGTCCCTTCAAGGCTTTTGAGCATTCAGGCTTCTCCACCTACTTTCCATGCACGATCTTGTCAGCAGGAAGGGGCTTCTCTCTGAAGATCCCAGGCTTGTGATTTTCCAGTGAGAGTAGTGACCTCTTCAAGCTATAAAGGATAGCAATGACTTTGCATACATCTGGCAGAACCTACTGCAACTGAGGTGGCAAAGAATAGGACTCTTAAGAAGAGGGTTTGGGGACACAGGTGACATTAGAGTTGTTGAGGGTCCCTTAAGCAGGCGATGGCCTTATCCCTCATGTGGCCCCCAGAATAATTTCTGCTGGCTAAAGTAGCCCTACTCTATGAATAACACAGTCACATGAATAACATGTTTGTTTTTAAGCCTTTCTATCCTTTTACATCACGGACCCTGGGAGATTTGGGCTAATGAACCCATTATCTTCTCAAAAGCCTCAGGCATATATAAATTGTATTCCCAGCCTTTTTCTATTTCTTTGTTAACATTTCATTCAAGGACAGAGGGTGAAGAGAAATAAAAGGAAAATGGGAAGAGAGTTAGGGGAAGGAGGTGAGAGGGGCTGTGGACTGCGACACCTGGATGAGTGAAACAGCAATAGACTCACACTAACATTGACCAAAGACAAAATGAAAGAAACCTTGTCCTTAGAGCACAAGAGGAGAGAGCATGCACAAAAGTAAAGGACCACAGGGCTTTGGCAAATCTCTTTATTCATCATTGTATTAGGTCTCTTTGAGTTTCTAATAATAGGAATCTAAACCAAGCTAGCTGAAGCAGAAAGAGGTACTGATTATAAAAGATACAGGATGTCTCAATCCAAGAGCAGAAATGTGGCTGGATAGGCAGTAGAAGTGGGAACTGGAAGGCTATTGGGAACTGCCAGTGCTCCATCACCTGTCTCTGCTTCTCTCTATGTGTCCGCCTCTTCCTTTTCCTGGGAAGAAGGGATTTTTTTAGCTGCCTGGTCCGTATGGCAGGCACAAGATGGCTGCCCATGGTTCCCAGGATCACAACTCACAGTTCTAGCTCCATGAAAAAAGAGATGGCTTGATTCAATCCTTTTCAGCCTCCATAGCACATAGTCCTAGAGTGCCATCTCTGTTCCAGCAAGAATGAGCTGTCTCCAGCTGCAATCAACTGACATTAGAATTGAACTCCATTACACAGACAGAGCCCCTAGGAATTAACCTGACCATGTGGAGGAATGAGAATGGAAATGGGAATCGTTGTAGGCTGGAAAGATGCTCTTTGGCAAGAGTTGCTATTAGTACTATGAAAAATAATGTAGATATAAGAGCAAAAGATATAAGATGCAAAACCAGGAGCATGGGTAAAATGACTGCCTCTTAAGTGATTGGCTGCACCATAAATTGACCCCACAGAAAAATGTGTCATTTCTCCCATATACTCCCAACACACCTTTCCAAGTGATTCGCCTTACTGACCTAAAACTGTGCTATGCAAAGTGTCACCTCTCTGGTTATTCTGGGTTTCTCATTGAGAATACCCTCCCCCTTATTTCTTTGCCTCTACAAATCTTATCCCGCCTTTAGGGGTCAGCTCAAGTTCCTACTTGTTCATGAATCTCTTTTTCTTTACTGACCATAGCTACTAATCAATTTACTAATTAGTTTCATCTTCATCAAATAAATTTTTCCACCTAGACTACATAGTCATTGTCAAAGACCACAACTGTCTACTTCTTTGCATATTTCATGGTTCTGGGGTGCAAAAGCATTTTGTAAACACTTTTTTTAGTAGACAGCTTTAAGTTTGTATCTTGAGTGTCATATAACAAAACATCAGGAACTGTATTCCCCATGACATTCCCAATTACATTTATGGACTTGGAGATTCCAAGCATGAATGTAACTGGACAAATAAAACTGTGGTCACAGGGAGAATTCAAATT